CCCTACTTTGACAGGTGCTCACAAAGGACAGTGTCACCGTGGCCGTGGACGCCGTCGTCTACTACCGAATATGGCTGCCGACGATTGCCGTGGCCAATGTCTATGATTACGGTAATGCCACCCGACTGCTCACCTCGACGACGTTGCGCAATGTCCTCGGCACGAAGACGCTCACCGAGATACTCTCAGAGCGGGAGAACATCAGCCTGGCGGTGCGTGCCATCCTCGACGAGGTGACCAAGGTCTGGGGTAAGTGTGTGTGCGCGCTTCTGAGAAAGACAAAGAGGAAGAGCATTGCTCGCTTCGATGCTGATGACTGTCGGTTTGTGTGTGTGTGTACAGTACCGGTTCACTAACGAGCACTCTCTTTTCTCTCTTCCCCTTACCTTTCTTAGGAGTCAAAGTGGAGAGGGTGGAGATGTAAGTGCCTCTGTGTACTTTGAAGCTCAGTGAACTTGAAGCGGCTGAACTTCTCTGTCAGCTCTGCACGCAAGGGGTCGAGGACTTGCAAGTAGTTCTTCTTTGATGTTAACGCATGGTCCGTTTTTGTTTTCTTCTTTCCTTTTCCCCTTTTCCCCTTTCTTTTCCTTACTTCTCTCTTCCTTCTTTCACACGCACACACTCCACAGCAAAGACGTTCGACTGCCTGTCAACTTTCAGCGTTCAATGGCCGTCGAAGCGGAGGCAGTGCGCGAAGCAAGAGCAAAGGTAATCATTTGCATGCTTTACACTTCTGCTTGCTTACTTGCTCTAAACTCTCTTTGATGATGCTGATGATAATAATAGTAGTGATGGTAGTGTACAGTACTGTACAGCTTAGAACAGAGATTATAATGGTGCTGATGATGTGCTAGGCTAGTAATGACACGACCTGCTGAGACGAGGGAGAGCAGAGTTTCAATTACAAGTTTTGACATTGAACAGGGAGACAAACGAACAATTTGAAAACTGTAAACTCTGCGACTTTGTTGTACAACTCGCAGATAGAGACATTTTCCACTGAACAACAGTATAACAAACTGCAGTCTTTATTATTCTACTCCGGTGATTCCACACACACACACAGACAGACATTGTCAGGAAATGCGGAAAGGGCGGTCATGAGAACATATGAGTGGGGAAAAATTGGCGATAGCCTTCTTTAGATTAGTCTACTTTACTACCTCAACAGTTTTCAGGCAGTGTTTAGTGCTGTGGCCGACAAACTCACGAAATTCCCGCCGACACAAGGGCATCACCGCCACCACTACAACTACTTCATCGTTCAAGTGGCAGATTCACCTGCTGTCACTTTTTCCAGGTGACCCTTTCAGTTTTGTCTGTTTGGGCAGTTGTATACAACCTTTGTTAGCAACTCCTTTTTTTGAAAAGTAAGAGAAAGTAACTCAACACAGCAGTAACAAACAACAATGCCGACAGAAGGAGAGAGAAAAGGAAGATGGCTTCAGATAGTGAAAGAAAGGCAAAGGTAAGAAGTAAAAGTGGCGCCCTGTGAGAGGTGATGGTTGTAATGGCGGTGGCGACGACTACGGCTCAATTAGATAATAGTGCAATTGAAGATCAATTGGAGTTGATTGGCGGCGAGCAGCACAAACTTGATTTGATTGAGCTAGTGCTATTGGTCTGATTGAGTCTATAACATTGTACACACTCACTTAGAAGACATTGCACACTAGGTCAGCCGACGATTAGTGTGTGCGTGGCTGATGGGACGAGTAGTGCACAGTGCTTATAACATTCAGTGATCGACACGGTCATGACTGGCTTCAGTTTTGTTGGCGGTCAAGATTGCGGTAGTAGGCTAGGAAAAGAGAGTGAAAAAAGAGAAACAAAAGAGGATGAAGAGGATGCCATGCACTGTCTCATTAGGGATGACATGCTCACATTAGTAGTGCTCTTTCTCTTTCTATCATTTTTTTGCCGATGATCTTCATTTTTTAAATGAATCATCTTTGACATCATCATCATCAAAAGCTTTGCAAACAACTATTGGCCACTTGTGTGCAAATTTTATGCTCTCCTTTTCCTCCTCAGATCATCGCCTCTGAGGGCGAGAAGAAGGCATCGTACGCGCTGATGGAGGCGTCGGAGATTCTCTCCACCGAGCGAATGGCCCTGCAGCTGCGGTTCATGCAAAACTTAGGCTCGAACACTGAGGGCAAAGAGACGACAATGTATGTTCTGCAAATAATACCAACCAGTTCAAACACTGCTTCAAGTGCAGATTTTTTGCCTCTAGCGAGATTTGCACTCACTGCTCTCATATAATTTCCCTTGTTGCATTTCCGAGCAGATTATTCCCCGTTCCTATGCCCATGATGACAATAGGACTGAACAGCGTTACGCATAATGGCGAGGATCTCCGATCAGTGAAAAGCATGGACGACGGTGGTGGTTATGGTGATGGTGGTGACGGCAGTATCAGCCCTAAACACCGCAGCGGCAGCTTCAGCAGTGTCGTCGGTGATGGAGGTGCTGATGGCGGTTTTGCTGAAGATGAAAACGATGATGATCAGTGAAACATTTGGCTCGAGGCGATTTCCAGAGGCGGCACCACTCATAAAACAGACAGACAGAGAGACAAACTTTTTTGCTAAAACACTGGAAAAGAGTGAGAAAGTGAACTGCAATGTTGTAGTGCAATAGAAGAGAAAGCAAAGCGAAATTAAATGTTTAAATGAAAAGGAAAAGAAAAAATTAATTAATCCTCATCGAAACGTCGAGCGGCAGCTGTCCAAGCGCTGCCAGTGTGTGTGTGTATGTTTAATTCCATTGCCTCGCGCGATTGCGCGCCAGTGGTCACGTACGTCACTGAATCCTGTCAGTTTTTTACTACCGCCTTAGTTCACCTCTTACATTCACAAGTTCACAAGCTGGGTTTTGCTTTTTTCTCACCGAACGACAAANTTTAGTTTACCTCTTATGTTCACAAGTTCACAAGCTGGGTTTTGCTTTTTTCTCACCGAACGACAAAAAGACGGATGATTTGTGACTGCTTATTATTATCTAATCAGACTGGTAGTGCACCAAGTGCACACTGCCTGTGCACTTGGTTCACTCACCTGTGTATTCTGTTGTTCTCTCTCTCTCTCTCACTCACTTTGTCTAATTCTTTCACTGTCTGCTTGAACTCACATACTGTCAATACGGAAGTGTGTGTGCTTGTGCATGATTTCTCCGTACAATGTCTTCTCTTTNTCAAGTGCACACTGCCTGTGCACTTGGTTCACTCACCTGTGTATTCTGTTGTTCTCTCTCTCACTCACTTTGTCTAATTCTTTCACTGTCTGCTTGAACTCACATACTGTCAATACGGAAGTGTGTGTGCTTGTGCATGATTTCTCCGTACAATGTCTTCTCTTTCTCTCCTGTTCACACAAGCACTAATCGTCACTATACTGATTCGCATTACCTTTATTGCTGGACAATTAAACCTATTAGCTCATTAGGCCCATTTCAGTGTTTGTTGCAAGTTAAAATATGGAAAGAAAAAGAAAAGTGAGAAGAGCAGGCTAATTTTTGCGCCAAAGGCCATGTCAAACAACTCGCCAGANCCGTACAATGTCTTCTCTTTCTCTCCTGTTCACACAAGCACTAATCGTCACTATACTGATTCGCATTACCTTTATTGCTGGACAATTAAACCTATTAGCTCATTAGGCCCATTTCAGTGTTTGTTGCAAGTTAAAATATGGAAAGAAAAAGAAAAGTGAGAAGAGCAGGCTAATTTTTGCGCCAAAGGCCATGTCAAACAACTCGCCAGAAGTGTTAGTGTGACGTTTCTAGTTGAGGTTTTTTCAGTGCAAACTTACTTTGCACCTTTTCAAAAAGTTAATACCAAAAGTTTTGTCAAAACCAAAATTCTGCTTCTGCTTTTTTAGCACCAGAAAAAAAGCTTTTTCGAGTCGTTTCTACAAAAGTTGCAATTAGTCGTGAGAAAGGTGACATTGTAAACGACAAACATGCTCTTGCTGTGTCGACCATTTATTTATCGTCCAAGCTGCTGTTGCACTGTTTAGAGGTGCGTTGATCATTAATCTGAATGTGTCGCTCAGCTAAATGGGCACCGACAGCAACATATTTGTGAGCACGATTAATTAGAAGGCGCCCAGCAGTTTAGCAGGTAGTAGGCAGCTTCAGTGTGTATATAAGTAGTCAGTTTGCTGTACTTACTTTTTCCTCCAGCACTGTGACTGTGACTCACTAAAAACTGCTAAAGAAAAGCAGAAAGGGGCATTGGGCAATCATTGACAGGCAAAAGTTAGCGAGAAAAGAAAAAGCAGAAGGAAAAGGAAAGAAAAGCAGCGGCAACGTGACAGTGTGCCTGTGTTAGTCAGTGCCTGGCACTATCAATCTATCTGCAATCAATTCTCCGATTCTCTCCCTCTTTATTCTTTCCACAGCGGCGGAAATATTCCCAAGTCATTAGCCAACTGCTAAGTAATACTGTTATTGGCAGGGAAAAAACGGGCAACCCTTGTCGATCCGCGGATTGTTTTTCAGTCAGACCAGTTTGAAGCTGACGTTTGGAGGTTGCCAGTGGAGAGAGAGAGGGTGACGTGAGTTGCCTGGCAAACACCACAGCTCCACTGACGACCATGGGGTACCTGTTGTCCACACACACATGCGAATAAGTGGTCATATATTCTTCGATGACTGTATCGGCAGTAGCCATCACCATCACCGGTCACCACCGAACATACGTCAGCTGGCAAAGGTGGCTGTAGTGGTGGGCAATCTGCCTAGTCCATCACTTCACACGCACTCATTGACGCAGCAACCGTACTAGCCCTACACTTCCACTTTAAATGACTCAGGTGGAGGCGCTCTTTCTTTTGGTGGTCTTCTACCATTCTTCACTGCCCCCTTCTGAAAGGCACTCTTATCGATCCAAACAAAAGCAGTAAAAAGGCTGTACGGTTTTTGTGTTATTCTTGCTCATGGTGACTGGTAGAATGATTAGTGGTGTTGGTGTGTCACCAGTTGTAGTAGTTCTAGTTCTAGTTCTACTAAAATATTAGACAAGCGATTTGTTTTTTGTCTGTTTCTGTCAATAAGTTTGACAAACTCTACTTCAATGGCTGTTGCACCAGTTTGCTGTTTATTCCACATTTGAAAGGAAATGATAATTAATTCATTTCTGTTTACTACAACGGCGAAAATGAAATGAAGCAAGAAACATTGAAATCGACGGCACTCCTAATGAACCAGCAGAATCGCATTGTTCAAAGTAGCTTTTGTTTTCTATCATTTGTCATAATGATTTCCCACTCAAACAGGAACTTGTGAATCTTGGCCTAAAAAATCGAAACACTGCCATGTCATTTGCCATTGAAGTTTTCACATTTTAAATTGAAAAAACAGCCGCAAAGAATGCATTGAACAAAGGAAACTGTCAAGAGCCTGCACTCAAAAAAATATTTATTAGCATCTGATAACAGAGCCTACTGTGACCACGTGTGAAGGTAAAGGTGTGCAGGCAAAAACAAAAACAACAATCATTGCCATTTGTGAGCTCTCTCATGAAGTGGAGAGAAGTACTCATATTTCAGTGGCTTTTCCTAGCGTTGAGGGCCAAAACATCTTCTTCCCTAATTGATTTCATTACTAAACGTTTTTGAAAAAATAAGAAAAAAGCGAGAGAAAACAAAACAAATTAGCAGTCACTGGTCGGCATTGTTCAATTCCGTTGTGATTGCTACCTCTCTCCCTCATTTTAACGGCCATCGGGCAGTTTTCTGCCGTTGTCGATGGCCCTCCACCACTGCAACCACGACCACTGTCCACTTTCCACCAGGGATGAAAACTTTTGCAGCATGTCGCACTGTACAGCTATCACTGGACAGCAGGAGTA